GATAGATTTCTTCAAATAAGAATATTGAGATGAAGAACCCGCAGTTTTAGAAAGTAAGAGAAACCTGCTCTCAAAGCAGTTGGAACAAATAAAATACCAGTAATATGAGTAATACTAATGGAGCTATTCTAAGCTACAGGGATGGAATCTATTAAAGTCCTAATAAGAATATGCCAACAAATAGGAAAAACAAAACAGAGCTTCACAGATTGGAAACAATTAATATACCTTCCAATCCAAAATAAAATAAATGCCAAAGGCCACAGTAATTATAGGACCATGACATTTATTTCCCATGAAATTAAAGTGATGTTCTAGATTTTAGAATAAAGACTTTTATCATATATGGATTAGAAATTGCCAGATGTTCAAGCTTGATTCAGAAAATGAATAGGTATCAGAAATCATATTGCAAATATTCATTTGCTACTGGAGCATACAAAAGAATTTGAAGAAAATCATTCTGTGTTTTAAAGATAGTAAAGCCTAACTGTGTGAATCATTAAAAGCTATAGATCATTCTAAAGGAAATGAGTATGCCATAATATTTAATTGTCCTGATGTATAATCTATATACTGAACAAGAGGCTACTGCAAGCAGAATATCAAGAAACAAAATGGTTTCCAATTGCAAAAGTGTCAGGCAAAGGTGTATATTATCTCTTTAACTGTTTAATCTGTAAGTAGAAAGTATAATATTAAAACATTTTAAACAATACTGTTAAAATAACTTAAATAGAAAAACTAGATTTCCATGAAGGAGGAATGAAAATTTGAGGAAGTATCTATAACCAAGCATTTCACTGTTATTTGTGAAACATTTATTTAATACAGATCTGAATCATGATGCATGTATAAGACTGAAGTTTACGTTCTGTGACAGGAAACTGCAGGAGGTTAAAAAAAAACCCACCATCATTTGTATTCCTTTACCCACTAATTATTAATTGTTGTTTAGAGAACAAAGCTCCAGAGGAAAAGAAATTAATATTAAATAGGGGTCTTAGGTCATTACTAGGTGCGAAATGCCATGTAGATTCACATAATTAGCAATGTTTGTCTACCAACCAACCATTATCTCTCTATTTTGGGGCCATGTATAAATATTTGTCATGTAGTCTCACTTTTATGTCTGAGAAAGTGGACTTGGTCTACGAAGGCTCACAGTAAAATATAGCAGTTAATCTTTAAGGTGCCACAACATTTTTTTCTTCTTTATTTTACTTTGCTTTTGAAGCTACCACTTAAAACACCAAAATGTAGTTATGATTTGAAAATTACAATGTAGTGCATAATTATGCAGTTTCCAAATTATGTAATGCAATTCTTCAAATTAAAGATGCATACAATTACATCATATTTCAATTAGAGAATATTAGGGAAACATTTGGAATGCAAGTAAAGTGAAGAAATAGTCAAGAATATGGAAGGACTGCCCCCATGAATTTACTAAGTGAGGCACACTGTTTAAGATACCTCATTTCAGTATTTACATTATTATCTGTATCACAACTCTTCTACCTTACTTGAAAACAGAAGTGATGTGCAGCAGGAAGTTCGTACAGAATGCTGTCCTGAACAACACTCTACACTCTATCTTGAACTACTGTACACTCTTCTATTTTTGCTGCAGAATTTATTTTGATGTTGTGAACTGCTGTCTTTTTACACCTTGTCATTGATTTTAGCTCAGTTTGATTATATACTGGCTTTTAAATTTGTCTCACTGTTTTATATTTTTAAATATATTGTATATTACTCAAAAATCGATTAGGCATCCTCATTCATTCAGTCAATCATTAACAATACAACATATTAAGTCTAACTACAATTTGTCTGGGTTTGGAAACAATGTTAAAGCACAGTTGGTTAAAAATGGAAGTGGAGTTTCTATTCTCCTTCATGGTTATATTTTAAGAGAGGAGGGGGGGAAAGGTGTTTGAAGATCACTAGCACTATTCAGTTGCTCTTAAAGGATCTATTTATGTGCAATTAGGTGAGTGCATTAGCCCTGTCTCCATTCACTGTCACTTTTAACACAGAGTGAAAATAAGAAGTGGGAGAAGCTGCTATATCAATATAGACTCCCTGCATTATCCAAAACACCAGAAAAATAGGATCCAGGTCACATGGATATCCTACATGGATACAGCAGCCTCCCACTCTTCAGACTGTCATTTTCACACACTGAAAGCAATGACAGAAGGGTGCAGAGCTAGAACATTCACTTTAATACATTACAAATCAGCAACATTTCCAAACAGAAGTGATACACCAATTGTCTAATTTTGTTCAACAAGCAAGAAACAATGCAGATATTATCAACTAAATATAAGAACCACAACCTTTGCAAAAAAAGGTGGGAGGGCTCTTTTAATTTTTTTTGGAAGAGAATCTGAAATATCCTTGAGAAAGCCAAATACATACAGTATATTTTGTTAAGGCTTCGTTTTTAAGTTTAGGGAGACACAATAAATTCCCAACCGAGTTAGAAAACTGAAATGACAATAAAACAGGACATAAAGAGACACAGGATGTTAAGTGTAATACCACAATTTAGCTCAGAGGTTAACAACTCTGAAATCAGGCAACTATGTGAACTAAACTCATGCACTGCGAGGTTATAATTCAGTGCAAACTACTGAATACTGACACTGCCTCACTATTAAAGAGGGAGAAAGGTTGGAATGTGTTAAAATGAGCACACGTAAGGAAGTACAAGGATTCAGCTAATAGTAGATTAATAGTACCTGTTACAAGAAGCAAATTAAAAATGTGGGAAACAATATAGTATATTCCCCACATGCTCAGAGAGAAGTACTGGAGTTATTTATATTAGTCAAACAGCTAAACAGAAAGTACTTTCCAATTCCTTCCTTCAATTTGCTGTTCTGCAAAATGTCCCCTCACAACTGCTAGCTCTCATTGCAGCAAGAGCTAGAAACTGCTTAGTAAAAAGGCCAGAGTTTCTTTCCAAACTCCCATGACATACAAGGAGTACGTATCTGCTCCCTGAATGTGCTTCTCAGTTTGTCCTGGGAAACCACCTCACAAGAATAAGGTGAAGGAGGGGGAGTGAAGGGGAATTTCTGTCCCTGTCCCTATGGGTATGTATGCATACAACACCTTCTGGAGGGAATCAGCTTGACAGCTTTGCCTTCTGCCTCTCCCTTTGTTCCTGTTGCTTAATTTGCAGCCATGACTCATTTTTAAGTATTTTAAACACCTATTTCCTTTTTGATGTAGGGCAAAGTGGATTACTTTTAACCTATTTGGATCACTCCCTGGTTTTGGATAACAGTGAAGAATTTCATGTATGTGATTAAATGTTAATAAGACAAGACTAACAAGTTACACAACCAAGAAGGATTAGCTGCCACTTGAGTTGCATAGAGTATATTTCACCTGATTACAAAATATTCATTACTACCTATCTCCCAAAAAGGACTTGCTTGTTCTGGCAGTGAATGGCCTCTGTAGCCTCACAGAAGGCTCAGCAGATGAAACTACGCCTCAAACAATGTCACAGACAGGTATTGCAATACAGTATAGAAAACAAATAGTGACCTGGGGTAATGTACTAAAGAATTTTCCCATTTAAATGTATTCTTCACTCACACCCAAACACACACATAAGCAACTTACAAAACACATTTCAAAGGGTATCATTTCATCCTTTCCTCCACTTGCACCTCCAAAGTCCACAAGAGAAAAATAATGTCACTAGTTCATAATAAAGTCCCCCCCTCCACCCTGTTAACAATGCATCTTTTGCCTCAACGAAGTTGGAAGCCAAGTGATGTATGCATGGCTAACACCTTCCATATATTGGTGGATTGCAGCTCCAATCAGCTCTAGTCAGTGGAGTCAACTCTGAAGGAAGCTAGAGTTGCAGTCCAACATTTAGAGGGCCACACTTGCCTTACCCCAGCATCTAAGGTGAGGAAGCCACCTTACATGCTAGGTGTTTCCCACTCACTTGCTGAAATACGGTTGCTCCCTATTCAATCTTCAGTCTCATTCTTGCTCACCTCTGCAACAATCAAATTCTTGAGCACAGCTGCAATTGCAAGCATGTACTCATTCACCACCAGACCTTCATTACTCAGTTACCAGATGCCACAAGTGCTTGCTCCATACGCTGCTCATTTTGGCAGACAACTAGTGAGAGTAGATACAGAGTTATTCTTCAAAAAGGGAGCGACTTACTGTCAGAGGAACCTTTGCCCTTACTTGGCTCCTTTATAATAATGACCCAGATGTTCAAGAACTCTATGCAGATGAAATCATTTTTCTGAGGTAAGCAGTTACATTTACATCTAACTCACTAAATAGCTTGCTTGCATAAGACAGAGCTATACCCTCAGATTGGTCCATTTATTTTAGAAATGTCTGAGCTGAGCTTGGCAGAGTTTGTGTTTCTGGAATATCTTTCTACAGGCTCTTTTTCCAATAAAATAGATCAAGACACTTTTAAACTAAGAGCATGGCTCCCTCTTACATTTCTTAATTTATATGTCAGCCTACAGCAAAATGTGTTCCATGTGTATACAATACAATGTATGTCTCAAGCAACTAACAATACTCTAACAAAACATGCGAGGAAATCCAGAAGTAACCTGAAGAAGCACAACTGTGTAGCTGGAAAAACAACCTAATTAACTACAAATACTAATTAAAACCTTCAGTGGAATATGTTTGAATATGGGTCTATATTCTACTAGTTTTTGAAGTTCTTCTTGACAAATTAGTCAAAAATATCTCTTTCTAACTTGCTTGAATTTGCTAGCCATGGCCATTGGACTAATTTATCAATATTCTTCCTATCTGTAAACACTTCCTAGCATGCAGCCTGCTCTATTGCTCTCAGTTATGTGTTACATGGTCCCACACCCCACATTTCTACATATCTGAACAACTGGACTTAGTAGGAATCTATACCTACTAATGTTACCAATGAAATATCATTAGTTCCTCTGTAGAAAAGTAACATATCTTACCACTTTTTCCTTGTATACAATGTACTTCAGCCACTTGAAATCCTGCCACTTGAACCCTGCCAGCACAAACAGGGAGTCCTTTTCATACTGCTCTGGTTTCTGGATGGCTCCTTCTGGGTATGTTATCCTCATTGTTGTCTTGCCTCCTACATCCTTTTCAAAGCCTTTCACTGGAGCAGAGTTCAGCCTGCAGAAAGACCAAAGATCTCTGAGTTTTATTTATACTAGAGTTTTGCCTGGAACCAAGGCAGAAATAAAGAACAGAAACACTTCAGATTAAGCTGCAGTAAAGGCACTATTGTCACATGCTAAGAGCTCATAAAAGCTTGTGTTTAGACAGAGTTAGAACTGACTGCACTGCCCATTAGAACATAGTGTGAGTGATCTAATGCTCGAAGGTAATATGTGTGTGGGCACACGCACCAGTATAGCTGACTGGATAGTTTAGTGAATTGGGGTATCTTGCTTCATAGTAAGTAGTCAGGAGTTAAATTCCTTATGGTGTGTTCTGGGAAAAGAGCCAACCTATGTGGTCTTGGTCAAGCTAGAAAGTCCCAAAATACCCCCAGAAGAAGAAAATAGTAAACCACTTCTGAGTATTCTTTACCTAGAAAACCCTGGGAAGGGTTGCCATAAATTGGAATTGACTTGATGGCACACAGTTAGGATAGCCTATAGTTCCTCTCAAGTGTCACTATTGGTAAATTATATTTAACAGACTTGGTGCAATATACAACACATTTGAAGCTTCAAACATATATGTTACATATTCCAAATTACAGCATATTTTAAAATGA